TCAGCAAAGATAACATCTCCAAAGTTGGTGGATCGTATGCCTGAAATTCTGGCTCGCGGCGGTGGTGCAATTGAAGTACTACACACACGACACTTGTTGCACATGTCTTCAAACTTTTCATAAACAGAGTCAGGAAGTCCCAACATGGAAGTCCTTCGTCTGAATTGAGTAGGAGACATGTGATAGTGTTTAATGTGAAGTTTGTAAAGTTCCACACTATGCTCCAGTTTCCTGAGCATCTTTCTGTATGCTGGTGTCATGGCTTGCACTTCACTACCAGGCAGTGGAATTGAAACTCGCCTAGGCTCAAGAGCATCACCCAGTTTCTCGATTTGACTTTCTGAATCTTGCTTGCCACGTTTGCGCGCAGGTGCAGAAGGTTTTGGTTCAATGACTTGAGGTTCATCTGAATCAATTTTGTCCAAACCTAACTCCCTAGCTCTTTTGTCAAGTTCATCTTCCTCATCAAGCTTGGGATAGGAGACAACAACCTTCTTTCTTGATGAACCTGCTTGAGAGTCATCGACAACTTGAGGTTTCTGCTTACCTACGTGTCTCTTGGATGCTGGAGGACCTTCCTCAATCTTTTTCAAGCTTGATCCTCTCGAAATCGGTTTGCCTACCTCCTTCTGTGAGGAGCTTGGCTTCTTCTGTACACCTGATGGCACTGAAGAGGCTGACTCAGGGTGAAACAGATCATCGATGTTTCCACGAAAGGGCTTTGCTCGATCAAGGTCATTTCTGACAACATCATGGGGGATCACGTAGTCCTCCTTGATCTTGTAGATGGTCTTGCCCTTCCAGAACTCTTCGCTCTGTTCAGAAAACCTCTTCCTTTCTGTGCGCCAGTTGTCCTTGTGAAGAACCTTCTTCTTGCTCTTCTGGTACTCCATGTGTGTCTCTCTCTCATCAAGAAGTTGATCTTTTGGAATTGGAGTTTCTTCTGATCGATTCATCTCATGTAGATTCCTTCTCTTGTCCTTGTGGTGCCTGATGATTTCACGACGTAATGGATCAACTTGCCAGTAGTCACCAGTCACCAAAGCTTCTTCTTCATGAACATCTTGTTTGACAGCAATCTGGCTGTACTCAAAGTGATCGTGTTGCGAGAAGAAACTCTTGACTTGAGGAGTCTTGAAATGAACTTGGCTCATGTACCATGCTACATCTTGTAGGTCGAGAATGAGATGAGTACTGATGGCTGTCTTCAAAACCATTTTTCTCATGCCAATACGTGCACAGGACAAGGAAGCCTTCTCTGGAGTAAGTTCAAATTGAAATCCAAGTTTTCTCATCTGTGGAAGTGACATCAACAATGGGACATCACCTTCTTCGACAATGTCGAATTCTGTGAACTGAGTGTTCCATCCATGATCATACATGAATATCACGAGCTTCTCAGTGCACTTGGATTGTTGGGAATTTGCAAAGAAGAATCTTGAAGTTGTTGGCTGAATTTCATACCAGAGTCCACTGCTGGGATGTGAGTCAACATATCTGCAAAATGCTTCAACTGCTCGTCGAGAGCCCATAGCTCTTGTGCATCCAAGATCCAGGATACATACAGTTGGTGGTGCAGAATTCTCTGTGTGAAAAGCTAGTCCTTTCTCACATGCCAGATCAGTCTGCACAGTATGAAATGAAGAAGCACTCTGATGCTCATCTGATTCCTTTGTCTCTGCAAAGCATTCAGAATGAGATGGTACCTCTGTCTCTGCAGGGCATCCATATGAAAACAATGATGTGCCTTCTGCCAACGGCTTCCATGAAGCCTCACCTTCTTGTAGACCAACTTGCCTGGGCACACGAGCTGGATGTCGTTGTACACCTTGTCGAAGTGCATCAAGATCTCCAACCAGAACAGGGAACTTCTTGAGTCCTTCTCTGTTATGCTGTGCTGTTGCATCACGTTGGGTCTGTCCTCCACGACGAGTGCGTCGATGTACTTCTTGTTCTATCTACACGTGCTGGTTCAGTCTCTGCAAAAGCAAAGAAACCATGACCAGAGCTTGATGCAGCAGAAGAGTAATGAGCTTGTTGCTGTTGTTGATTCTGTATGGCAGGAGTTGATGTGGTCTGAGGTTGAACATAGTTTGACTTGCCTTTTCCATCTCCTGGCTTCCTCCTTTGCCATCATCATCCTTGCCTTTCTTGCCTTTCTTTCCTTTTCCTTTTCCTTTTCCTTTTCCTTTTCCTTTTCCTTTTCCTTTTCCTTTTCCTTTCTTCTGGAAGTATCCATACTCATCCATGTAGTACAGATCATCATAGGCCCAATAGCCTTCATTCCAGTTTTGATCATCGGCCCAATAGCCTTCATAGGATTCATTCCATTCTTCTCCTTCTTGCCAATCTTCTTCATAACCTTCTTCACTCACCATGTGAGAGCGGCCTTTTCTTCCCTTTTCCTCGGCCTTTTCCTTTCCTTGATCTGAAGAACCTTCGTCCTCCTCTGCCTTTTCCTTTTCCTTTTCTCTTTCCTTTACCTTTGCCTCGTCTGGTCTGTCTGCCTTGGAACCTTCTCTGATACCATGTGTAGTCAGCGTCATCATAAACCCAGAAAACATCTTCTAAAGCATCCAGGAATCCTTCTGCGCCGTCTTCATCATCTTCGGCCCAATAGCCGTCAGTTCCTTCTAGTTCACCTTCATCCAGTACGAGGAAAGATCTTCTCTGTGCCATGCCAGAGGGTTGCATCATTGGATTGTCAACTGCTGTTTTGGTAGCGCAAAGCATTTCCAAAACAGATCACGTAGTTCTTTTATGTTGTACTGATCGAGGGTTCGTCCACGATGTGTCATGATACTTGCGAGTGTGTTTCTTTGATCTTGACTCAGGTCAGCTAGACTTACAAAAATCAATGCTAGCAAATTGTCACCCAATGGGAATGCCTGCCTTTGTGCTTGTCTACGATTCGCATTGAAAAGTCTGAAGGCCACTAATGCCAGTTCATCTGACCATGGAACGATAATGTGAGGGTCACCTCCTGGTAACGCTGCTGCCACTGCAGCCTTCTCTGCTTGATCTCGTTCATGTTCTTGTCGTTGCTGCTGAACAAACAGAATTGCTTCAGGACTAGTGATCACTGCTTCTGGAAGTAAATCCATCCAAGACTCAATAAGTCTGTTGCCAGTGAGTTGAAATCTAGTCATCCACTTCTAAAGATCCATGGTTCCTCTGTTGAACTTCATGAACTGCATGAAACGGTATAAGAACACGTTCTGGGCACCCTTGATGAAATGAGGTCGTAGAAATCTTTTGAAATAGTTCACTCCGTCATTGGGATCTCTTAGCATGTCTCTGTCCAATAACCTCTTGTATTGCTGAGCATCTCCTTCCAGTCGATTGCACAAGGCTGGTCCACGTTTCTCAGGTTCTAACTCCGTGATGTCACACCAGTCATCGATTGCATCTTCAAAGGCAAAGAAACTGGTTATCCCATCATATGCTGGAGCTACCTTCGCGGTCATCTGTTGCGTCATGTGAATCTGTGTCTGCTGGGGAGCTCTTCTCATTGCGTAAGAGTCATATTGGTTCCATCCATCTGCATCGACAATGTCGAAGTCATCATCATCATCATCATCATAGCCATGGCGTGCCATTGCTGGGCTCTACCTGGAGCTCACCTTCAATGAAGGATCACTCGGCGTATTGCCAGTTCGTGCGGTGTCCACAGGGTTACTCTCTATATACCTCTTGAGCCTTGAGGGAGCATATAAATGTGCTCAATACTCATGCATGTACCTCTGTAGGTATTAGGTCAAAAGAAAAACAAGGGCGCAGCGCCTCCCCCCAAAGCAGAATGAAACCACCTCTTCTCACATGTAATGTTGCTAGTTTTCAAGAGAAGGTTAGTTCGCAAAAATCGCAGTTGGCGACGATGGTCATGGTTATCATTCCACATCACCCTTTCAACCCCAACTAATGTAACTTGGGTTTAAATCTAAAGAAGCGGGAGGGGGGATTGGTGGGAGGGCGCAGCGCCTCCCCCCAAAGGAGAATGCAAGCACCTCTTCTCACATGTAACGCTGTCAGTTTTTGGAGAGAATAAAAGGAAAGAAACATAAAAGCAAAGAGACAGCAAAGAAAGGAAGCAGAGCAGCAAAGGAGTAGGAAGAAGCAGAGAAGCAAAAACGCATGATGGCATAGAAAAATAGAAGTAGAAAGGCACAGAGACAGACAAGCATGAAAGGCAAAGACGCTGGAAAAGCAAAAAGCAGAGAAGAGCAGAGAAGCAGAAAAGAGAAAAGCAGGAAAAGCAGAGAAGCAGAAAAGCGGAGAAGCAGGCAAAGCAAAAAAGAAGAAAAGCAAAAAAGCAGAGAAGCAAAGAAACAGGAAAAGCAGAAAAGCAAAACAGCAGAAAAGCAGAGAAGCAGAAAAGCAGGAAAGCAGGAAAAGCAGAAAAGCAGAGAAGCAGGAAAAGCAGGAAAAGCAGGAAAAGCAGAGAAGCAAAGAAACAGGAAAAGCAGAAAAGCAGAGAAGCAGGAAAAGCAGGAAAAGCAGGAAAAGCAGAGAAGCAAAGAAACAGGAAAAGCAGAAAAGCAAAAAAGCAGAAAAGCAGAGAAGCAGAGAAGCAGGAGAAGGAGAAAAGCAGGAAAAGCAGGAACAGCAGAGAAGCAGGCATCCCAAAAAAAAACCTGAACCTGAATTTTAAAAAAAAACTAAAATAGTTAGCCCTCCCTCAAGAACACTGAAGGCAACTTTTCCTGATCGTCAACACTCAGCTCAGAAGTGGTCCTCATGGTTTCTCACGATTCTTGCCCTCCTTCGCTTCTGCCTGCTTCACACCTGCACCCGCGGAATCTTCCGGCTGCGCTGGGGCATCATCCGGTTTGGTGCCCTGGACACCACTGCTTTCTGCAGAAACCATCGACCCGCCGTCGCGGGCTGGACCTTCGGGGGTCACAGCGGGGGCCGCGGCCTGGGGCTGAAGGTCTCCGGCCATCCCCACATTGGCCTCACCGACATTGGCCTCGCCGACATTGGCCTCGCCGACATTAGCCTCACCGACATTGGCCTCGCCGACATTGGCCTCGCCGACATTGGCCTCGCCGACATTGGCCTCGCCGACATTGGCCTCGCCGACATTGGCCTCGCCGACATTGGCCTCGCCGACATTGGGCCTCGCCGATATTGGCCTCGCCGACATTGGCCTCGCCGACATTGGCCTCGCCGACATTGGCCTCGCCGACATTGGCCTCGCCGACATTGGCCTCGCCGACATTGGCCTCGCCGACATTGGCCTCGCCGACATTGGCCTCGCCGACATTGACATGCCCGGCACCGTTGCCTCCATGCACCACGGGCGCAGGCGGACGGTTCCACCGAGGAACGAAGATTGGAGCTGCTGGGTCTAAGGCACGGTCACTGAGTATGTCCAACAGCCTTTGCGAAGGAGCCTCCAAACCAAGGGCATGAACAAGGTGCAAGTCGCCCATCGGGAGTGATGCAAGTCGAGCCGCTGAGCCGATCTTTGAGCCAAGAATCTTCCAGAAATATCCAAAAGGCATTGCGATTGACAACTCCTCTGGAAGCTACTGAAAGTCATTGAAAGTCGCCCTGAGCTCTCTTTGGCCCAGAAATTCCACTAGTTGAACACAAAATATGACTGTTACATACATACTGTCACTACAAGATCTCATGTATCAAAAAGTGTCATACTTCCGCACTCTAAGACATCATTGGTGCAGTCGGCAACCACCCAATTTTGTACACCTCGCAGCACAATCCGTTCAGACAGAGGTTCCAGTGGACAGGTGGTCCACGGGAGAGCACCGTGGAACAAGCAATGGGGAGAGGCCTCCAATCCTCAAACGTTTGTGCTTCGACACGAGCCGCAACCGTGGTTCACCGCTGTCAAAGATGCTTTGAAAATCTTTGACATGTCCATAGGCAACCTCTGCAAGGCTGGATGATGATGATTCTGCTTGTGAATTCTAACCCAACCCGAAAATGTGAGAGTCAATTTGAATCATCTCAGGGTTTGAAAACGAAGAAGTGTTTGAAACCACTGAGTGGTTTGGATGTGAACATTGATTCAAATTCCAGATGTCCACCATCATTTTCCCCATTGAAATTGCCACAAAAAGTGGGCTAGATATGCCCTTTTTCCGGACAAACTCAATTCATATTGTTGGCTATATTCAATATTAAATCCCCAGTGTTTCATCAGAATACCTGGTCCAAATATCCTGCAACATGCTCTTGATGATGGACTACCCTGCAGTTGATAATCCAATGGATCCCGTCGAAAACAAACATGATTTTTTCGCGCGCAAAATGATCTGCAAATGGTTTGTTTTGCATGGCCTTGTTGGTTTTATGGAGGGTGACTCTCCTTTTTGTGATCCTCAAATCAATAAATGTGGAGGGGGGGGCGCTCAAAAAAAACACAATGTAAATAGCAAAGCTCCGAGGGAGCACCAAGGTGAATCAAGTTTAGAACGGCTTGAAAAACATCTGGCAGGTTCTAGACAGCCACTTTCCACCAACCAGCCATGCGTGGACGAAGTCACACGAACGAAAGGTTGCCCATGGCCTATCATCCAGCATCCACTTGTCGCATCCCGTCAATCACCCATAAAATTCTCGATTTTGCTGTTTCAATCCTCGTGAACTGAAAAACCATCCCAATTGTTGATTCAGCCCTCGTTTTTCATGATTTTCATGGTGAAATCCTATTGCTTGTTGACGAAAAAACCCGAGATTTAATGATTTTGACGGTAAAAACAACCCAAATTTTGACGTTGTCGGCGTTGGAAGGGACAACAACAATCGTTGGGAGTTGGGTTATCCCCCGAGAAGAGCCCACAAGTCCATATGCAGCACCAGGGTCATCATTTTTTCTACTCTTGGCCCACAGCAATGAGTTTCACTATCCACTGTCATCGTGGGGCGGGGCATAACCCGAAATAAGGGATCAAATGACCAGCCATTTGTGGGTGAAACACATACTGCAGAGACTAAAAGCCCATAGCAATTTCTATCCCCAAATCATTGTTGATCACTAATATTCATTCATGTGTATCTATATATATATATATTTATTTATTTATATATATATATATATTTATATTTATTTATTATTTATATATATATATATACATATATATTATGTAGCACATATTATATGTACGTATACATATGTAGAGAGAGAGAGAGACGCCAAAAAGATTCAAAAGAAATTTGACATTTGCTAGGATTTTACTTTTCTATCCGGGGGCTGCTGTATGTGCCACACTAATTGATTGCCAAACAGATCCATCTGGGACGCACACCCTGGCAGATTTGAACCACGTGTAGTCAGCAGCTGCCAATAGCAATATATGGCTATGGGTCAAGTGCTTAGGTATCCCTGAACTGGATGGCTCTCGGAATATCATAAGGGCCAATACATGTTTGAAACTCACTTCAAAGTTCTGGTCAAATTGGGTTGTTTTACGGTTGTTGGATGTTTGGGTTTACCACTTTACCACTAGCACTTTACCACAGAAGACTCATACGCAGACCAGTCATGACCTGCACCAACATAACTTGACAATTGACCCATACCCGTACGCAGAAGTCACAATCTGCGCCCTGTGCCTCAATTCAAATGCCAGAGATTACCTCACCCTCCATACTTCCGCAAGCCAAGCGAGCGTAGCGAGGTTTTGAGGTTTACGATATACTGGTAGGGGATGAGCCACCATGTTTCTTGGCCTTCATGGCCTATCTCGCATGGTAACATGATCAACCAGTGGATTTTTTATTACTACTCCATCCATTTTCAAACAAACCCAAATCAGGAGCTCATCCATTGATGTCAATACAGAAACAAGAAAAAAACGCAAACATGTTGAAGCTGTTTGTTTTTCCTTCATTCTCATTCGATTGGAAACTCTGTTGAAAAGATTCAAACACTACCAGGGAAAGCGCACCTCAAGAACACTGAAGGCAACGTTTCCTGATCGTCAACACTCAGCTCAGAAGTGGTCCTCATGGTTTCCTGGATTCTTGCGGCTGCGCTGGGGGATCATCCGGTTTGGTGCCCTGGACACCACTGCTTTCTGCAGAAACCATCGACCCCACGCCGTCGCTGGCTGGACCTTCGGAGGCCACAGCGGGGGCCGCGGCGGGGGGCTGAAGGTCTTCGGCCATCCCCACATTGGCCTCGCCGACATTGGCCTCGCCGACATTGGCCATTCCCACATTGGCCTCGCCGACATTGACATGCCCGGCACCGTTGCCTCCATGCACCACGGGCGCAGGCGGACGGTTCCACCGAGGAACGAAGATTGGAGCTGCTGGGTCTAAGGCACGGTCACTGAGTCTGTCCAACAGCCTTTGCGAAGGAGCCTCCAAACCAAGGGCGTGAACAAGGTGCAAGTCGCCCATCGGGAGTGATGCAAGTCGAGCCGCTGAGCCGATCTTTGAGCCAAGAATCTTCCAGAAATATCCAAAAGGCATTGCGATTGACAACTCCTCTGGAAGCTACTGAAAGTCATTGAAAGTCACCCTGAGCTCTCTTTGGCCCAGAAATTCCACTAGTTGAACACAAAATATGACTGTTACATACATACTGTCACTACAAGATCTCATGTATCAAAAAGTGTCATACTTCCGCACTCTAAGACATCATTGGTGCAGTCGGCAACCACCCAATTTTGTACACCTCGCAGCACAATCCGTTCAGACAGAGGTTCCAGTGGACAGGTGGTCCACGGGAGAGCACCGTGGAACAAGCAATGGGGAGAGGCCTCCAATCCTCAAACGTTTGTGCTTCGACGCGAGCCGCAGCCGTGGTTCCCCGCTTTCTGTTGGTTTTGCAGCGGTCAAAGATGCTTTGAAAATCTTTCACATGTCCATAGGCAACCTCTGCAAGGCTGGATGATGATGATGATGATGATGACGATGATGATGATGATGATGATTCTGCTTGTGATTTCTAACCCATCCCGAAAATGTGAGAGTCAATTTGAATCATCTCAGGGTTTGAAAACGAAAAAGTGTTTGAAACCACTGAGTGGTTTGGATGTGAACATTGATTCAAATTCCAGATGTCCACCATCATTTTCCCCATTGAAATTGCCACAAAAAGTGGGCTAGATATACCCTATTTCCAGACAAACTCAATTCATATTGTTGGCTATATTCAATATTAAATCCCCAGTGTTTCATCAGAATACCTGGTCCAAATATCCTGCAACATGCTCTTGATGATGGACTACCCTGCAGTTGATAATCCAATGGATCCCGTCGAAAACAAACATGATTTTTTCGCGCGCAAAATGATCTGCAAATGGTTTGTTTTGCATGGCCTTGTTGGTTTTATGGAGGGTGACTCTCCTTTTTGTGATCCTCAAATCAATAAATGTGGAGGGGGGGGCACTCAAAAAAAACACAATGTAAATAGCAAAGCTCCGAGGGAGCACCAAGGTGAATCAAGTTTAGAACGGCTTGAAAAACATCTGGCAGGTTCTAGACAGCCACTTTCCACCAACCAGCCATGCGTGGACGAAGTCACATGAACGTAAGGTTGCCCATGGCCTATCATCCAGCATCCACTTGTCGCATCCCGTCAATCACCCATAAAATTCTCGATTTTGCTGTTTCAATCCTCGTGAACTGAAAAATCATCCCAATTGTTGATTCAGCGCTCGTTTTTCATGATTTTCATGGTGAAATCCCAGTGTTTGTTGACGAAAAAACCCAACTAATGTAACTTGGGTTTGAATATAAAAAAGAGGGAGGGGGGGATTGGGGGGAGGGATGCTGTCAGCTTTCAAGAGAAAGTTACTTCGCAAAAATGCAAGCTGCGGACGATGGTCATGGTTAGCATTCACACCATCATCTTCACCACATCGTCATGCCAACCCCAACTAATGTATTTACGAGCTTGGGTTTAAATATAAAAAAGCGGGAGGGGGGGATTGGAGAATAAACGGAAAGAAACATAAAAGCAAAGAGACAGTAAAGAAAGGAAGCAGAGCAGCAAAGGAGTAGGAAGAAGCAGAGAAGCAAAAACGCATGATGGCATAGAAAAATAGGAGTAGAAAGGCACAGAGACAGACAAGCATGAAAGGCAAAGACACTGGAAAAGCAAAAAGCAGAGAAGAGCAGAGAAGCAGAAAAGCGGAGAAGCAGGCAAAGCAAAAAAGAAAAGCAAAAAAGCAGAGAAGCAAAGAAACGGGAAAGGCAGAAAAGCAGAGAAGCAGAAAAGCAGAAAGCAGAAAAGCAGAGAAGCAGGAAAAGCAGGAAAAGCAGAGAAGCAAAGAAACAGGAAAAGCAGAAAAGCAGAGAAGCAGAAAAGCAGAGAAGCAGGAAAAGCAGGAAAAGCAGAGAAGCAAAGAAACAGGAAAAGCAGGAAAAGCAGAGAAGCAAAGAAACAGGAAAAGCAGGAAAGCAGAAAAGCAGAGAAGCAGGAAAAGCAGGAACAGCAGAGAAGCAGGCATCCAAAAAAAAAACTAAACCTGATCAAAAAAAACAAAAATAATTGGCCCTCCTTCTGGATATCTGTCCATGTGGTGCCAGTTGTTGGGTCGTCTGGAATGGTATATGAACCAGAGGTCATCGAACTCCCATGAATCATGATGCCAAAGTAGTCGAAGTCATCCTTGTAGGGTACTGCATTGTCGTATTGACTCACCAAGCAGGTCCCTTGACCCTTGGTGATTGAGCTTGAGCCTTGGACCGTCGAAAGCAAAGTATAAGAGCTTGAGAAACCATTTTTGATACTTCCTTCCAAGTCAAAATCCAAGTTGTCGGCTTTCAATGATGACATCAAGGTTCTAATCGTATCGGCGCTGGGAAGGTCCCCTGTCACTCCATCTCCGCCCAGCGTGATGTAGTTCATTTTGGACCTTCTTCGATTCGAGGCTGTTTGCGGCTCTGTGGACATTGACGGGTCAAAGGCTCCAGTGTGCTGCTCCCAATTCTTGGGAACATCTGAACAAAGTGTGAGCCAACTCAAACCACAGTAGACCTGAGTGGTTTGCAAGTCCAGAAACTGGACTTGGTCCTAGTGGTTGCTGTTGTAGGGATTACCATGATGGATTATCGTAACCCCAAAGAGCAGCTAGTAGAACCATGTAGAACCCCTATGAACGATGATCAACTGTGATCAACTGTGATCAACTGTGAACCGAACGTCGAGTTGGCCTCGATGGCTTCGGCGGCGGCCCCGGCCGCGGCCCCTCCAATCCTCGGCTGGGCGGCGGCTGCGGCGGTCCCAAGCTGTACCAAAGCACTCTCACCGAGCTCTCCTGGCCCCTTGCATGCATCCGATGCCGCACAGGCGGCTGCGGTGTTCTGATCAGCTACAGCCGCTACGATGCAGAGTAATGCGAGGCGAAGCATGGCTCGAAATTGGTTTGAAAACGCCACCAAATTGAGCTGCCAGGAGGATTGGAGCCAAAAAGAATGGATTCAAAAGGATCCTTCAAGGATCAGGATCCGCAAGGAAGCTACGTCACATCTTCACCTGGCAAGCACCACATTTGTGTCATGAAAAGCGTTGGCACAGACAAACGATGTCGCTTCATGTGAAGGCGATTGGTTTCCCGTTCTTTTTCGTCTGCGTTGATGTCGCTCCACTGATTCAGCTGACCACCAGGAATCAACTTATAACCAGTTGATTCCCAGTTGATTCTAGATCACTGGATGGCATAAATCCGCCCGCACCGAAGGTGCTGGAGCGTGATCTTCCGGATGGCACTCGTAAAAGGTTACAGGTTTACCTGGGGGGGGGGGGCATTTTTCGGCCAAAACCTCCTGTTTTTGATAGGTCGTGACGCTCGCCTTCAAAAAACACTGTAAAAAACAGTACGGAAGACGCCTGTTCGTGAACGCGCCCGTCCAAAATCGGCAAGCGAAAAGTGAAAAAACCCCGTGTTTTTCAACTTTTTGACCTCAATTTTTTGTTTTGCAACATCTTTTTTGCGGTTCCGCAGGTGGCCTGGCCCGGAGGCGGATTTTTGAGTTTTTGGACCCGTTTTCGGACTGATTTTCGTCGTTTTGTGATAGCAGAAACACTGGTTTTTACAGTGTTTTTCTGTTTTCTGCATGCTTGACGGCTAGCTTCAAAACTTCCAAAAACCTCGTAAATTACGCTGTTTTATGTTACGGTGTGAATGAAAACATCGTAAATACCAGTGTTTTTTGACGTTGGTTTAAAAAAACACTGTAAATTACAGTGTTTTTGGCCACCTGACCCTCAAAAACCATGGTATTTGCAGTGGTTTCTACTTCTCACCGCACAAAAACACTGTAAATAAGAGCAATTTCGCCGTTTTTTCATGTTTTTCGTTATTTTTTGAACTGCGTTGGTCCGCTATACATGGCTATCAAATTCTTCGCGTGTTTTTTTCCGACAATCAGTACTTTCGGATGTTTTTGGTCTCAATGGCCGACATCATTGGCAGTTACGAACGATGCGGTGCGGGCGGTTGCCGTCGCGAAGCGACGTGAATATGTTGATGATTTGTAAATACATAAATCCAAATCGAAAGACTTCTGCTTTCTCAGCCTTGTCGTTAACGACCACCTCAATGTGCTGAATTTCTGGTGATTTTGGAGTTGCGAAATCTCCGAAACTGCCTGAAAAGTGCTCCATGATCTAGGCAACAAGGTGGGACAAAACGCTGTCCAAACTGGAAGCTCCAAAAATCTCACAAGACAAATGTTCCTTTATCTTTTTTTGGACTTCCTCCTTGATATACAATATTGCTTTGACATGTTTCAACAATTTCAGTCAACTAGGAGAAAAGGATCCCAAAAGAAAATGTTTCGGAGGCCTCTTTGCTAAAATCTGCAAGAATGTTTGCACAAAAAACTAAAGCACCGCGTAGTTTGCTCAATGTGCAGCCTCCCACAGACTAGCTCTAAGCTTCTGAGATCTTCTGAGCTTGGCGCTTGGTGCTTTACGCAGAACTAGCGCATCATGGCACGCAATGGTCCATATGACGCCATATGAGTCATATGAGTCATATGCAAGTTGTCAGCAGCGCCAATTCCTGAAGTAAATAGATGCAAGGGGTGCAAAAGCTGCAGTAGACATTTCATAACATTTCACCTCCATGTTTGAGCAGGTTGAAAACCGAAGATGCATAACATGCAGTTTGTATCATTTTGTCTTGTCTTATTTCTCTTGCCTCTTACATCGGTTTTGGGGTGGGGAATACCGTGTTGCCCAGCTAACCGACCTGGTCTGATGACATGTTGCCGGTAATCACCTGGTGGATCCTTGTGAATTGATGTGAGTGTTGGACCAGACTTTGTAATCTATAAAAACTCACTGCAGAATGGTGAGACTCCGGTGCAAGGGAATTAGAAACTATGTTTATCCAGTCTATCCTTGCATCATGGTAAGAAGGGAAACTAACTTGCCCGCTCATGCCTTGTTAGCCAAATCTGGCAACTAGCTACCCCAAATCTCATGCATCACCGGAAAACTGTGTGGTGCCTTTGAAAACAAGGCCTTTTTTCAGAAGACCAAAGCTGTCAAACCGTTGGAAAATCACATGTGAAAGAGGGTTTTCTTGAATTGCTAGAATAACTGCGAGAAAAAGAAATGAGTTGCGAAAGGCTGTGTGTTGGTTGCGAAAAAGACATTCGTTGCTCAAGATTCCTTGGATTGCGGAAGGCCTCAGGCTTTGATTTATGGAATAAATTGATGGACTGGATTTCTCAAAATCCAAACATTTGAATGATGGTACCCAAACCAGCACTATACAATACTATACATCCATTTCAAGGATCCATGCGAAGATGGTCACTGTCATTTTTTTTTGGTGGTTAGCAGCCCTTATTTTGGTGGTTGGCATCCAATATGACATGAGGGGAAACAGGTCTTCAACCCATTGGGAATCTGAAGGCATCCAGTATGACATGAAGGACAAATACTGTCATTACATATTGCAAGAATGAGTAGAACTAAAAAAACTCGAATAGAACACATTGAATGCCAACCCAGCAGGATGTTTGACATCGAAGCAGCTGTAAATTGGACATTTGAGGGTTTGAGTCACGAAGGGCTTCGTGATGCTTCGTGTGGAGGGATCCGATGAGCTCATCGAAAGCGATTCAGACGCTCAAAGGTGATGGATACAATGTATACAAAGTCTGTTGTGATTAAAAGTGTGTACTGCCTCTCAGTTTTCCCCACTCTTTGAGCAAAGCTTCGCTCCAATTCCAAAGTGGTTGGCGATATGGGTGGAAGATGCCATACAAACACATGGACACACCAGTGATGGTCAGCGACGTCATCTGCGCTGGGAAGGTCGTGCTTGGATAAAATGCAGCCGCCGTGGCAAGAAGCACTTTCCTGGCAAAGCTTCGTTGTGCAGCCTTGTTTTGCTCAAGCCTCTATGACGAAAAGTGCTAAGCAATATATGACAATATCGTGTCCTCATGATTGTACATCTTTGTATGCACCCATGTAAATTGATTTGCTATCATCATTTTCTTTCAAACAAATATGGAATACAGTAATAATGTAATGTCTTATATGCAAAGGATTTTGTTCAGTAATACAGGTTGCCACTACAGTGAAACTCGTGCAAATCTCCCGAAAAAAAAAAACGGGTTTTCAAGAAACCGGTTCAAAATGATTCAAACGAAAAAATGAAGACTTGACAGAAAGTATTTCACCTGTGACTTCAAGTGATTGATCGTGCACGAATTGCACGGCCGCCAACGTCACTCCATGCCTGATCAAGCGCTCGGCTTCAAAGTAGCGCCCCTGGCAAGTTTCATACAGAACCAATGCGCCAACTGTGGCACTAAAACCTGCAAATCATCAGAAATCTTGTAAAACTGAATGGATGCTACTCTCATCATCTCTCATCTCTGTCCCAGGCGCAGTGCATTTTGTGAAATGAGGATTTCTCAGGAAATCGTCATGGCGCTGAAGCCGAAAAGGCGATGTGGCACTCTAGGATGAATTGGATGCCTTGCATTGGACGTACCTGTGGATAGGGCATGAAGTCGTACAAGGGCGTCGAAGTTTTGCTGGATCCGCCAAGCGGCCATCTGAAAAAGAAACTATATATATATACATGGGAAAAAAACAAAAGCAAATGGATTGTCTCCGGTGTTCGGGCGCATGCTTTTTTTGTGAATACTCTATGGATTCATATTGGGCTGCTTGCTCGTTTTTGATAAATTCTGGCATTGTGCGTGCTTGAAGAAATTAGCAAAACTCCACACTTGTGGCGAGGGTTCGGCTTGCAAATGGTTGCACATCTCTTAAACTATACTACCTTGTGAATAACACTTTGTAGCAAACCCTTTGAAAGCTAGTTCCAGCAGACCCCATTCGAGCACCCCAAACAAAAAGCCGGGTGCCATCCTTTTGCCTGACGCCAATAGCAGGTACCTTCCAGCGCATGCGCTCCTATGGAGCCTACCGCAAAGGGCTTGGAACTCTCTCCGTGCAAGAAAACCAATGCACGACAGGGTGACTCCACGATTTCTGGACGGCATTTGAAACATTTGAAACGGTGCACATGCAGCCCTTGCTGCCGACCCATATTGGATGGGCCGTGTGAAAAACATTCCACAGCAAATCTGGGACCAATGCCTGGCTTAGTTAAGCAGTATTACTTGTACATGGGAGATGTCCAAAAGAAGATGTTGATGACTTGATGAATGTTGATGTCAACAATCGGCCCCAGCGGCCTCCAGGCAAATCAGGCCCGGGCCACTATGGCCACTGTGTTTTCAGCCGATGCATCCACCATGTGGACGCATTTCAATCGCTCGAATTTGGCGACGTTGACATCTAAGTAACCAGTCATTGTCACACCTCAAACAGTTTGTTAACAGCTCGACTGGAATTTTCTGCGAGCAGCGGCCAAGCTTAGACCCGGCGATGTTCAACTGGAAAGGGCCCAAGCCAAACAAGCCAAAGCTTCAGCAAAGATGACCTCAAAACCAGAAACAACCGCCATGACGATCACACGCCATGTACGCACATTGTATGTCCCACCCGCATCAAGTCAAAACCTGCATCAAGTCAATTCGTAGAGTAAGCTTTGCAAATGTGTCTCATCTTTTTAGCATTTTTAGCATGGAGAAAACATCGATCATACATCGATCACGTCGATCACTGTCAGCGGTTTTCAGAGGGCCTGGACGGTAACCACTCCGTTGCTGCTAGGCTCTTCTGTCGTTTCGAAGGTCGTTGTTTCCGTGCCCTCGCTGCTATCGGACTCGTTGCCATCGTTGTCTCGGAGGCTCCACAGCAGCTGAGTCAGCAGCGGGCGCTGGTCCTCTCAACCGGGCAATCAAATCTGCCACGGCGTATGTTAAAATGGTTAAAATATGTTAAAATTGTTGTCTGCTCCAAGGCACACTTGGCTCACTTTCACAAGGATGGAACGGTAGATCGACTTCCCCAAAGTCCAGCTTGCAGATGGCCAAGATTGAATAGCAATGCGAAGAAAGAACCGCAATGAACTACAAAAAAACTTGTTTCATGGAATGGTACATCTTATGTCCGGACGATGTCACAACAGAAAGAAAGTGACTTGACTTTGGAAAATTGCTGAGTACGCAAGTCTCAGAACAACAGTTGTCTCCTGTATCCAATCAAGATATCAGGACTTGTCTGACACAAGGTTGGCCCAAGAAACTGATCATACAAGATACCAATGCCTACGAACAGACATCAGCACCTTCAAAAAAGAAGTACAACAAGCAGCACTGCAGCACTGCAAAGACAGCGGCTTTTGCAACTTCTCAGACACCCAATAGTACCCAATCCCCCTTGGCTTTTCCCGCCTGCATAGGTGTCGCCTGTTCGTAGACGTTGGCTTGTAGACTTTGGACGTCCAACTCTTCCGAGTCCGCCTTGAGCGCCGTTTGAAGCAGCTCGCGACCTAGCAGAGCTGGAGGTGTGGGTTTCCCTCTTGGGGAAGGCAGCTGTGGAAGAGGCAATCAAAAACATCCCGCCGGACCGGAAACCGTGCCCATAAAACGCACGTTTTTTTAAAAAAACGGTGATTTTACCACAGTGCGGTGCTGATTTGATGATTGGAAATCCTGGAACTTCTTGGGGCGCGTTTTTTGGCTTTTCAGCATCATCGCTGCAACGCATGCACCGTTATCAGCTGGCAGTCAGCATTCTTGTGAATGCATCTCCATTGCCAAGCTCTAGCATACACCATCAAGAGGTCACTTTTGGCACTCAAGTTGCTGGGAATTGACTTTTTCATCAGATTCCAGTAACGTAGTAAACGATCCCAGAGATCTCAGCAGCGTAGCAACATGTAACGTAGTAAACGTCCCAGAGATCTCAGCAGCGTAGCAACATGTAACGTAGTAAACGACCCCAGAGATCTCAGCAGCATGGCAATATACCATGTACGAAGTACAAGGAACGTTAACTTAACATGCCCCCCCACCCCGCCCCACCCCACAATCGCGATATTCAAAAACGTGCGTTTTACGGCAACGGTTTTCGGTCCGCAGGCAAAAACATCTCAAAAACATCTCAAAACATTGAAGTGAAACAAGGACTCAAAATGGAGCCCCAAGCAAAACAATGCAAATCATATGCAAATCATATGTAAATCATATCAAATACTCAGTTCGTTGATGTCAGTTTGATGATCAATTGGATCAGGCCATTTGGATCAACCGGTTTGCACCTTGGAATCCTTCCAGGGAGGCCATACGAACGGCACTCCAAGGCGTCAGCAAGACCTCGTAGGACACCAGATATGTCGACGGCGATGTCGTCGATGTCACCGTGCTCACCTCTGACACAGCCCGTAGGACTCGTTTGATTCCAAGTTTATTCCAAGTTCCAGTGGAGTTAGAGCAGTCCGCGAGTCAGAAACAGACTGCCAAAATGTTTTGCCAATAGGTGTCGCATTGAATGTTTTTTTAGCTTGTTTCGCTGCTTCACTTCGGCTGGTGGACGGGTTTTGACCACATATCAGGTCAAGAAAACACCAACAAACGCGTAACAGCACATGTAGAAACGCGCAAATCTCGATAAATAATCATACATAGTCATACATCAAACATCATCAACTATGAATGCCCATGTAAAACACCACCCAACAGCCCGAGTCTATCCACCTCAGTAGTTTTGAGTTGCAGCCGCAGAAGTTGATGTGAGTCCATCTGGTAGAACCCCATCAAAAACCTGGAGATCAGCAGCAAAACAGCTACCCTTTAACTTACCTTTAACTTCCGTTTACATTTGTATATGATGTTATTGATGATATCGTTTGATAATGTTTCATATCGTTTGTACGTTGAATCATTGAACCAACATGCCAAAAACCGTCGCAGCACATGCCGACGCCAAGGCACGCCCGAAGCCCTGCAGCAAGATCGGACACCGGCTGTGCTAGTCTCAGGTAGAAAGAGTGTGCCATCACCTGCAGATCCCAAAAAGGAGTTCGTTTCCAAAACAAAACTGGACCAAAATTTGGAACTTGGCAGATTTCAAAAGAAATTCACAGAGGAATTGAGCAAATCATGAGCATTGCAGGAATTCACGTCTTCCAACGTCCGTTCCGACCGTCGAAGCGTTCCAACTTCCAACTTCCTCTGCCTCAACGGCTTCGATGGCTTCGACGGCGTCGACGGCGTCGGGATCGGCACCGGGATCGCCGGGTAGACACAGGGCGAAGCCCAGCACCAAGGCGTAGCCCTGGAACTTGGAACACCTGTGGTGGGACTTAAGAAAGGACTTGTGGTGGGACTTAAGTGCGGACTTCAGTGCGGAATACGAAGCCTGAAAGGATCAAAGTGAAAAGATCGGATTGGATCAACTTCCCATCCGGAGATCCGACTTTTCACTTGCTTCGCAACGGTTTCCCAAAAGTGAACAAAGTAGAACAAAGTCCCAAAGTTTCCAAACACGTTTGACATGATTCACATTATGGATATTTCGCATGTTCCAAGCGAGTTGGCTCTGGATGACCATAGCTGCCATAGCTATGTTCCATGTTTTCCTTCGGACAAGCAGCTGATATTTTCCCATGGAGACGAAGCCGTCAGGACACGTCACGGAGCAATGATCACCTGGTTGCAGCCTGGATGGCAGTGGATGGCTGTGTTGCAGCACAATGTGCAGATTTACATAGATTTACAGATATTTACAGCATATTTACAGCATATTTACAGCATATTTACAGCATATTTACAGCTTACCAGTACTGCAACCACGGCGTGTGTGGCTGATCGAGTCCAAGTGGCAGGTGCCCAGCACCTCAATGTCCGTGGCACAACCCAATCAGAAAATCATCATAAAAATACCAAAAATCATCATAGAATCCAAACATATTCAAAAATCATATCAAATCTGACTGAAATTTGCTGAGTTGATATCCCACATGATGTTCACACCCTTCTGTGATCTTCCGGTATCTTTCGGAATGGTTCTGTTGTCAGAAAAGGCCGTTGTTGTCATCGAAGCTGCAACCTAGTCACAGTTGGTCTCCTGTTTCGTCCAGTCGTCACCGACAATGTGGTTATTGTCGAAGTCGCAAATGAGGTCCGGCTTGAGGTTAAACTCCTGAGAGGCTTTCACCAACATTCCTTGAGGTTCCTTGTTCAGTCAACTATATCCTTTGAGGGGCGAATCAACATCAAATCACAGTCAAACACATCGAATCTGTCCAACTTTTTCCAGCTTTTTCCAAGTTGCAGTTGAGGTCAGAGACGTCGTCGTGACCGCGGAACTCGCGGTGCCCGCCCTGGTCTCCGAGGTGGTCGCGGTCACGGTGACCCAAGCGGTCACCGTGGTCACCGTGGTCACCGTGGTCACCGTGGCTGTCAGCGTGGTCGTGGTGGTGCTCCCAGTTCCCATCACATCGGATCCTGCACCGAGCCGAAGCAGCGGTATCACTCTGAAAATCTAAGGTGATCTAAGAAAAGTAAGTGAGTCTAAGGTGATTTTCGGCCTTGGCCCTGCAAGGTCCTCCAATACCCAAAAAACCTTGCGAATCCATCACGGTACAATCAAACCTCGGTCTTTCGCCAAAGCTCCAAATACAGGCTGTCACAATTTGCTGTGTCAGCTCGCACTTATATGTACTTGTGTGACACTTCGTGGCTGTTCAGTACCATGTCGCTAGCACCTGACGGCAACCCCTGCCAGAAAGGGGGGCCCAGCTGGTAACTCTCATGGATTCTCATGGTCAAACCCAACACCGGAAGCAAAAGCAAATGAAAGAATCTTTCAATTTTTCTATAAAAGTTACTTCTGCTATAAAAGGCCAAACAAAACGGATGTTTCTTCGTCTACAAGTTGCAGCATAATTTGCGCCGAGAACTTGGAACGGAACCCGACTTCCCTAGCAACACGGCCGCCACGTAACGGCCCAAGGGGTAGGGAGACGGCTGTAATTTCCATGAAGGCCTGATTTCCACCAAGTCCGAAAACCTGAAGCAAAAGATCTGTGAAGCTGGTGTAAAAGCATGTGTCAAACACATCTTCCAAAGTGGGGTCAAAATGTGCAACGTTGGTCAACTATGCAAAATCAAACAGAACCTGCATTGATTGCAGTCCCGCTGTCATCATGGTGAGACAGGAGGGAAACAGAAAGCTGTTTTTTCTTCAAAGGTTTGGATTGCGAAAGCTGTTTCTTTCTGCCTCACATTGGACCTCGGCATCGCAAATGGAGCAGTTCAGCTCCTTCGGGTCACAGAAAGTGACGCATTGGAGGGGTGGTTTTGAGCCATTTGGACCTTAATGGATCGTCACACCTCAGGATAACATGATTCAAATGAATTCTACATCAATTATCAAAATGCATTTCTAGCTACTCCGAAATCAGTAGATTTATTTAGATTTATTACATTATATCTGACTCATTCCAAATATTTCTAAATGCATTCGCTCAACAAAGCTGTCGATCAGCCCAGTCCTCCAGCACTGCACTGCCTTCAGCCAAGATCTTTAGCTGAAGTACGGGCTCTTCTGTTGGAATGGACCAAACTTCTGTGGGAAACGACAAACCTCGAGGCAGAAACAGGCAGGATAGTCAGACATGATCAAACAGGCAGGGTAGTCAAACAAAGGCTACTAAAACACCTAAAACACCTAAAACACCTAAAACACCTAAAACACCTAAAACACCTAAAACACCAACATCACGCCACTGAGTCAATTGGTCGACTTGATTTCCTCTGCTGCATTTTGCACATGATGTTGAAGCTCCATTCTTCCTCGTTCATCATCATTCCTCGTCACTATTCCATGATATTCCATGCAATTATAGTGATACATCGATTTACAATGCCCCAAGATTTCACTCAGTGTCTTCGGTATCCACTGGGCATTTTGGCATATTTGGGCCTTGATCCACCAGAGGAATCAAGTTGATTCCAACATGAGTAATTGAAAATGGAAAGAACAAACACATGGAATTGACATGAATTGACAAGTTTCGTGTTCCAATATGCCATATGCTCACTACATTTTTTGAAAAAAGATCTCCTCCTCGCTGCTCCTACAGTTCGTTTCGCTCAGGGACTCGGTGGGTCCAAGGCAGTGAAGGACACCGCGTTGCTCTGGGCCTCCGCAATGCTTTGCACCTAGCGCAACGGAGCTGCATCCTGTGAATCCTGTGATCTCCCGGAGAATCTCCCGGAGAATCAATGAGAATCAGAATCGGCCATGAACTGCCAGGGATGACAACAGATTCTGACAGATTCAGGTTGACTCCGGCAGCTTTGGCCTCCGCCAGGGATGTGACAGCGATGGCTTCGCCAGCCGCCACCCAATCCAGGCAGCAGCCCACGTCGTCGTTGCAGGCTGAGGGACACGCATCTGCATCCTCAGCTCACTGCACTCGCATAGCAAAAGCTGCTGTAGATGAGCCAGTTTTGTTTTACCAAGCGATAGGTCCGTTAGGTTAGACGCATGCATATTATATTCATGCATGAAATCCACACACATAGAACAAATTGCCATATGAATCCATATGAATCCATATGAATCCATATGAATCCATATGAATCCATATGAATCCATATGAATCCACCCCAAATTCCCAGATTCAAATCCCAAACCTCAAATCATGTCTTGATCCAATTTGATCCTCAGCAAGAATCCAAGTCTGAAGCGAACATGGGCCAAAATGACTTCACACATGGCTCGAAGGCATCTGACCTCATGTCGAACACATCCCAGCATCCCAGCAGCATCCCAGCAGCATCCCAGCTTTAACAGTCTTTAGTGAGTGAAACATGGTGAGGCCGATTTGTGACACTAAGTTTCCAAACAAATCTGGCACCACGTGTGAAAATCATAGAAAATCTGTCAGATGCCCAATTCGAATCTCGCCCGAGTTACGGAAACAAAGATTTCTGCAACTCTGTGATGCACCAGGACAGGACGTGTTCTTCGTAAATCCTCTCCGCGGAAGAATTGGGCGGCAGCATCGAAGCATTGAAGGGTTGCAGATCGTCATTGGGGTCGCCGTTGTTGTTTCCCATTAACCCTTCCGTGAGGTTAAAGCAGTTGTCAGCTGGGGTTAACCTCGGCTGCGACATCATAGTGATCGCTACAGAGAACTTCCTGAAAACAAAAGAAAGGAAAGTTGACTGGGACAAAGACTTTGCTCTAAGTTTGCAGCCCAAGATCTGAAGGAAAATATGTGTTGAGTGGAAGGTCGCAGTGAGTTCGTTCCCAGCAAGGGTGCGAAGGGACAGTGTCGTCGTATCTTCAAATTCCATGGTGATGTTCTCACCAACCAATTTGTTCTCCTCTCCATCCTCCCAGCTGTCGCATATGTCCATTTTGTTCGAAGCCCAGGTTATAAATTTCAATTTGAAAAGAAGTTGCAGCCATTGAACCAATTGAAACTGATTTAAAGAACTGATCCGACGCGATCCGACCCTTAAATTGCCTTAAATCATCTAGTTATACACTATCCATTTTATTCCATTGTGGGGTTCACTGAAAGAAATTGAGCCCCACAGCAACCAACGGAAGCAACGGATGCTTCGGCGCTGAGCATCCAAGTAGACATCGAAGCTGGACTCATTGCCCTCGCTGTCCAGGACGGCATAGGCGATCTCTCCATACTCTCTGACCTGTAAGATGAGAGATGGAGAGAATCTTCACCAACATCCACCAGAGGTGACTCCACCAGAGGTGACACGGGAAAATCATGGAGGTGAAACATATAGAAAGTATAGAAACTATTATAAACTATACTTAATCAAACGCAGAAACCAAGGAAACAAAAAAAATCCTCTGCCAAGGCACGGCAAAGCCCGTGATGACTGTGGCCTGACTTGTGTTGCTGGGTTGCTTCGTGATGACGTGCACCTCAAAGTCTGCACACCTCGTCCAGAGAGCTTCGCCCAGGAAATTGCATTCCTCAGCTTCGCCAGGTGCTGCGCACAGATTACATTCATTTACAGATCTTCTTTTCATTTACCATGTCTGTGAGTTTTTGGAACCGCCATTCGAATAGGAGACCGTTTCAAGAAAGAATGATCACACCATCTTGGCAACCCTGCTCTCAACATGTTTGATATATGGTTCTTTTCGAAGAGAGTTGCTAGGGGCAGGAGTTTGGAATACGAACTACCGCAAAGTCCTACTGTTGAAGATAGAAATCACATGAAACCACACTCTTCACCAAATGGAGATTCAAAATGTGCCTTTAACATGAATAAAACGCCAGCTTCCCCGTTTTACAGGCCATGTTTCATACTGAAGTCCATCAAAGGTGGCACAGTGGGGATCACCCCAGCCTCCACCTGGCCGGCGAGGCCGAGTCCAGCGTGTGTCGGTGAAGGGTTGGTTGGAGGCGCTCGGCAGGGGACGGCCTAAGCGGATCACCAAATGGGCACCAAATGGGCACCAAACGATCTCTGAAAATCTCCGATTTTCCTGAAAATTCCAATTGGATCCAGTTGGAGAAATTCGAAAAATCCATTGGTGAAACCAACATTGGAGACGTCTCAGCGGTCGACTTTCCGTCTGCTCCTCCGGCTCCACTGTAGTGACCTGAGGTGCAGCACGCGCCCCGTTACGAAATAACACCTCGAATGTCAAGGTTGTAACAGTACAATAAGTACTAATATATATTATATTGTCTTAAACTAATATATATATATATATACAATTCATATCGGTACTAGTATAGATTGTAACAGTACAATTGTGTATGTAAACCTCGACGTTTAAAAATATTGTCTCTGTTTGTCCAAAGAGAAAACCACCACGGCAACCTGTGCAAGTCAAGGAAAGTTCTTTTGTTGAGATCAATTGTCCATTGATTCAACTGCCCAACTCATCCATCATATAAGTCATATAAATCATGTACTTAACATAGAAATACATATGATTCATATGATAGTGATTAATAGTGATAGACTTCTGACATCGTGGTGATATCACTGACATCAGATGTGTTAAGCCCATGCTGTGCCCATGAGGCCGGCCTGGCCCGTGGACGTGGCACAGTTCAAGTCGATGTCGCCCAGGCTATGCGAGGCCATCACTGGGAACAAACTCCAGGCCGGGTGCCTGGCGTACTGTTATACAACCATGGTTAAAAAAAAAAAAACTTCCTATGGTGAAAATCATATTTATTAACATATATCAATCATATATTACAATGTATTACATCAGATATGATTGATATATGTTAATAAATATGATTGATGTTCATTGATGTTCAACATGACACCAGAATTCATCATGTGCTCAGCATGGTTTTTTCTTCAACTAAATCCATGTGAAAACATGTACACTGTTCATCCCTTTTCATCTTCCATCTAAACATATTTAAAATCAAAATGCAGGTCAAAGATGGTCGTCATGTCTCAACATGTCTCAACATGTCTCAAGCCATGATGTCAACGAACCATGTCAACAGAGTATATCAAAACACGAAGGAGGTCGAACGATGTCAACTGGCACCTGGAGGATCTCAGCAGGTAGATGACGTCACTGTCCAACTCCTCCAGCTCGAGCTGGTTCAGCGGCAACGAGGAACCCGTGGAACCCGTGATGCTCCTGACGGCCCAACATGGCCCAACAGATCCCTCCGATGGCAACATCTGTCCAAAACATACTTGAAATATGTTGAAAGTTGCAAGTTGATAGAAGTTGGAAAGTTTCACACCGTGTCACAGACCAAATTTTCGAATCTTCAACTCCGTATCTTTGGGTTGCTCAAGCAGGGCAAATCCTGAAGCCGATTCGCCAGTTGTGTTCATCGTTGGCATCCAGCGGCAGCCAGACACTCGCTTCCGTCTCGCGAGCTTCCAAAGCACAGCTGTCTGGGTTTCGGATGATATCGACCTGATGCAATCACGGCTACTTCTAAGAGAAAACAAATCCGCCCAATTACCCACTTTTGTGCAGCCTTGAACAGTCTAAAACAGCCTGTACCAAGTCAGATCCAACTGAGCTCACACGGCTCACACCAAGTGGCTGTGGGCAGCTTGAAGATCGGGATTGTTACCAATGGCACTCCTTAGAGGCATCGAACAGCGACTGGATCACTGCTGTTTAAACAAGAACATACAGGAAAATTCACTATATGCCAAAATGAAAATAAACCACGGTGAAAATGTGTAGTAAACACTCAAATTCGAAATGTCACTTCAAGCTGAGCAACTCAACAGCTCAATGGCATTGTCAAAGAGAATGCCTTTGCGCTTGAGCACAACGTCGACGCCAAAGGCCATTTCGAATTGGGTGACATAGTACATCACGTCCTTAGCACCCAGAGATCAGGTGGAATTGCAGACCTTGACCAAAGCATGTAGCCTCAACATTCATAGCTAAAAGCGGATGTCGGAAATGCGCCAAGCATCTACGACATTGCTTTGGACAACTGCCTGGCAGCATCAAGCCAAATGCTGAGCTTGGCAAGGTACGACTGGTACGACTGGTACAAGGTTGGGAGAGGTATCATTCGACTGATCAAACGATCCAAACGATCCAAACGATCCAAAACCAAAACAACACAGACCCCAGCGATCCCCAGCGATCCCCAACGATCCCCAGCCTGCAGGTCAAAGGTAAGACGTGGTTCAATCGACACTTCTACTCCAGCCACACCCCACCTGTGCAGAGCTGTGACAGACTTGAGAAAAATCATCCAAAAAATCATCATCAAAAATGTATTAGTAAAGTACTTATTAGTAAAGTACTTATTAAATATTAGTAAAGTGTAGTAAAGTGTAGTAAAGTGTAGTAAAGTGTAGTAGAGCACTTTCCTTTCTTTCCTTCTTGGCACATCAAAATCCCACCTTTTTCCCCCACCGAATGCTGCCAAGTCGACAGGAGAAAGCTGATGCCCAGGTCGGCCCAGGCAGAAGTCGACACGATGCCCGTGAACTGCGCAAAGGCTTCCTGGCCATGGCATGGAACATGATGGAACGATGGAAACCATTGGGGACCATGTTGTGCCCAGGAAGACCGTGGTTGGCACCATGTAAAATACTGAAGATGCAGTAAAATCATGTAAAATCATGAAACATCATGCGAAATCTGCATTAAAAAATGGAAATGGAGAAATGGAGTTCTATTATTTTATTGCTTTCATGTCTTCAGGTGCCTCAACAGCCGGGTTTTGGCGGAGCTTTGTGACTAGGGGTGACCTTTCTGCGCCGAGGTGCCAACTTGGGATCCTTGACCTTTTTGACGTAGGTGCTCTGTGGTAGACGGTCCTGGCAGATCATCCCAGGTCATCCCAGGTCCATGATGATCACCCGATCAATGGAATAATATATGGAATCATGGTGGAATCATGGATGACCAGAACAGGAGAACCATAACTCACGAATCAAATCACGAATCAAATCACGAATCAGTAATAAATTTTATGAATCACACCGTCTCTGAATTGATGTTCTCACACCCACAGCATTCCAATTGGAATCGACCTTCGACACCTTCGACCAGCGCGTCCTCGTAGAACCAAACCTCAAAGGTGTGCGTTTCACCTGGCGGTGGCCATGGCATCCGGAGAAGTGGATCAGATGCCAGGGTGCAGCCAGGGGGAACTCATCACCGCAAGTTGTTGCCGTAGGCATTGCCGTAGGCATCTATAAGTTCCATAAGCCAATTTGAAAAAGTCAATATGACATCCGTATGACATCCGTATGACATCCGTATGACATCCGTATGACATCCGTGTGACATCCGTGTGACATCCGTATGGCGCTGAATATGAGACCAGACCAAACAAAGATGATCAGCAGCATTGATGTCAATTGCACAGTAGGTTCCTGACACAAACCTTGTAGGGAATTTCTATACTTGAGAGTCCTTTCCAAAAAACTGGAGGTCCCCAACAAAAATCCTCCAAGCTCCTTCATGTTCGCAGTTTCCAATGGTTGAGGTATCCACTTGGATATACTATTAACAAGTGTTTTTTTCGAGGCTCCTTAGGATAAATCAGTATACCATAGTTAACTATCATCTATCATCTAGGTTCATTTGAAGATTAATTTGCATTAATTTACATTTACATTTGCAATCATGTCCTTTTCATCATGCAAAAGTTGTAGAGAAGTATTTCATAAGTTACACATAGTTACACCATTTACATGTCCAAATAACTATACGCAGTTCTCCATAGTTACACATAGTTATTGCCAAATCCAACTCCTTTCCCCATAGTTACACCATCCCGGGACGCCCGGCCCGTGGTGATTCCGCACTGCGCCACCAGCTCCGCAGACCACGAGGCGCGGCCGTGGAACGTCAACCCCGGAGTCACCTGGAGCCATACCTCAGAAATGTCCCGAAGATTTGGAAGATTTTGGAAAATCACTGGAAATCCATGGGAAATCATGTGAAATACGGATTGTTATGATTGCGGTTGGAAAATTCTCCCACAGCCTGCAGCATTTTGGCCTCAAAACATGGAGTTTCGTAGTGCTCGGACACTATTGCTTCCAGCGGGCCCCAAACATGATCGGGATGGGGATCCCTCTCGTGGGCACTTTGAAGTCACCTGGAAGGAGACACTCCAAGCTGTGCAACACCAGCTCAACTGCATATCACCCCTACGTCAAGAAGCGCTGGTATTATGGTATGCTGATAAAATGTTGGCACAACAAACGAAGCCGCAAACGTAACAAAAGCCTCTATAGGATTTATTGCTGACTCCTGTTGCGCCACACAGAGCGTCAGCGGTGTACCGTGAACATGAGATGACAAGGGCATATTCCCTCTGACCTTCATCACTGCCTTCGATTTCTCTTTGGAAGTAAAAGCCTCACATGCTGGGATGCGGTGGTGCAAGGTCTGTCGAAAGCCAAAAGGTGTCAGAGACTGATCACCGGGACACAGCAGGACGTGAAATGACGTTTTGATTTGATTCATGTATATTTCATGTATCTCTTTGTCAGATGACAATAGTTTCCAAGCAGCATCCGCTCTATCTTGTGGTATCACCCGGTATCATCCGGTCAGTCACGGGGGTCATGTTGTGGGATTGGGGCCATCTGGGACCCAAACCGATCAGATAGGTCCAATCCACGGTGTACTTGGCGTAGAAGTGCACCGAAGGAAGTCCAAAGAGCCGCGGTCGGATATGCCTCTCGCAGCAACACCCCGTCGAAACATGGTCGAAACATGTTGTCCATGTCCATATTGATCATATATTGTTCATATATTGTCCATGCCATGAAGGCAACGAAGAGGCAACATGCCATTGTTCATGGCCATGAACGTAGAAGACGTAAGATCCAATCGATCCAAGATGCCCGGAGATGTGCAGAGTAAGGACGAGGGTCAGCACGTTGTCCAAAGTCACCTTCGGATGAATCCGAACCTCAGCCGCTGCGCTGGTCGCATCGGGTGACGGGTTCCACCAAGGTCCAACTCTTGGCCTCCCAGCAGGTCCTCCAAACCTCATCTCCTGGCGCTTCACGATGCTATCCATCACAGCTATCCAATGCTATTCCAATGGGCTATGAATGGATTTAGCCATTGGGCTATTGGGCCATTGGGCTA